TCTGCTGAGAGGCAGATGGTAACCTTGGGGACGCTGACGCGGCTTTGTGTAAGTGAGAGTGGCAGGAGGCATTTCTCGAACGGCACTGCCTGTTCCACCAACCTACCACTCTCTTCCTCTCTAACTGCCTTCGTTTTTTATTTTTTCCATTTATGCATGTCTCTTTCGCTGACATAAATGCACACTCTAGCCTATCTGTGTTTCTCTCTGCGGCTGGTTGATGCGAGAGCACATTATGTGCTCTTACTAGGTGGTTCTTTAATTATATTACCCTCTGCCAGGGTCTATATACCCTATTATCTCCAAATAGAGTGACATCCATTAGATCCATTCAGGTCAAACTCGTGACTGACCTCCAAGTGACATCCTTTTGATTTCTTATTCATCTAAGCTGACTGGAGGACGACTGCTCTTTTTATCCTTGCTCTTCCCTTAGCATTCAAGGTGTTGAGCATAAACCTGATTTCCTGTTTGTGACGGCTTCCTCTGTAAATAAAACTGATTTGATTTGACCCACCATCAAAAAACATTTCATGCTTCTTAAGCCATGCTGAAGTTTATCTGAACGAACGCTTCCAGTTCCTAATGACAGAACGGTTCATTTTCAGGACGCGAAGGGAATGACAGAGGAGTTATCGTGGTGAATGATGGATTAGCTTGTGTGGTAAATGCACTTCAGCTTGGGCTTCTCTACTTAAAGTGACAAGTGCTCTGTTTGTGTAGTTTGTGACTAAATGCTGTTGGTCCTTTGCGGCGCAGTTTGGTGTTTTTCACTGAGTGTTTTTTACTGTAGCCACCTGCTCTCTGTCGTACCGTCTCCATCTCTTCCACCTTCCTCAAGTTTTACTTCCAGGCCACACGAGACTTCTTGTCGGTGAAAAGGCACAGATGGGCTTTAAAATGCTCTTGATTCAGACGCCTGAACAGAGGCAAACAGGACACTTCTGAATCTTTATCTTCCAGTTTCAGTTTCCTTTATTTATGTCATTTAACGCATCACAATAGAATTGTAATGCAGAACGAAATTACGTTGCAACATACCCAACAAGAACATAAAAAAATATCACTATACAAACACTATAAAATCCTAGCATGATAAATAAGCTTTTATAATTCCATAAAAATATAAAAATATAATTCTATAAGATATAACCTATTTTTATTGTATTTAAAAAACTCTGAAGAGAATAACTTAATACTTAAATACCTATTTCATCATTTTTTGTACAATTCCTCCAAGAATTGTAGTTTATCTTTGAAATAAGTTCACCCAAAAAATATTTACTTTATTTTCATTTAGGGCTGTGAGATTTGGGCAAAATATCTAGTTGCGATTATTTTATTTATTTATTTTTTTAAGATTTCGATTTGATTTGTGATTTATTATTGTAGTCAAGCTTCAGGTCAATAATCTGTATCCTAGCTTCTTACTGTTAAAATGCAATGAGTTGAAACTTGAATTGAATTGAAACTTGGTTAAAACGAGAGCATTTGTGGCAGAAAGAATGGATTTGAATTTTACTCAACAAGTTAAACTCAAATTTGGGACATGGTGTAGCTCATTCATTCATTCATTCATTCATTCATTCATTCATTCATTCATTCATTTTCAACAGCAATCTTAGGAGAGAACCCCAGACTTCCCTTTCCCCAGACACTTTCTCTCACTCCTCCAGGGGGATCACGAGGCGTTCCCAGGCCAGCTGAGAGACTTGGTTCCTCCAGTGTGTCCTGGGTCTTCCCTGAGGTTTCCTTCCGGTGGGACATGCCTCCCTACTGTAGGAAGTCATTCAGGAGGCATCCGAAATAGATACCCAAGCCGCCTCCACTGGCTTCTCTCGAATTGGTGGAGCAGCTCTACTCTGAGCTCCTTCCGGGTGACAGAGCTCCTCACCCTATTATAAGGGTGTGCCCTGCCAATCTGTCAAGGAAACTCATTTTGGCCGCTTGTATCCATGATCTTGTCGTATCGGTCATGACCCAAAGCTCATGACCATCAAGAGCTTTGCCTTTCGGCTCAGCTGCACTTTTACCACAACAGACCGGTACATCGACCGCATTACTGCTACCGCTGCACCACATCTGCCTGTCAATCTCACGTTCCATCCTTCCCTCACTCGTGAGCAAGACCCCAAGATACTTGGACTCCTCCTGGGGTAAGGACTTTCCTCCAACCTGGAGAAGGTGGCAAACCACCTTTTTCCTGTGGAGCACCATGGCATTGGACTTGGAGGTTCTGATTCTCATCCCAGCCGTGTCACACTTAATGTGTAGCTTATTATACAAACAAAAAAATAATAATAATAATTATAAAAATACACAACGGCAATATAATATGGCTGATAAGAGCCTTTAAGGGCTTGTATTTTCTAAAACAAAATAATGAACACAGATGCTACACAAAATATCATAAGGTTAAACTTACAGCTGTGGTACTCCAAAATGGCAAAAATAGGTGTGAGATGGAAGTGTATAACTCTAATCCTGCATTTAGATTAGTTTTTTTAAATCCCTCTTTGGTCACTGCCCTAAAAGGCACCATGTCTTCAGCCGAGGTCGTGCGTTATGGCATTAGTTATCTCCTGGGTAGGGTTAGTAAGTTCTTTATTAAACTAGAAGGTAAAATGCACTCTAGGGGCTTTGTAACTACTAGCTAGTTTGTAACTAAATTTGTTAACATGTTCTTAATGCAAACTGTAGTTAGTAGGATGTAAGCTCTCCATAAAGTCACGCGTATAGTCGCATTGAATGATGTAATGTTCATTAAGAAGCATTTAAATAGTTAAACTGCTTTCAATTTCTGCAACTAAAGCATATTTATATAACTGTCCTATGGAAAGGAAATGACAAATTATTTTTGTATAGTACATTCGATTACAGTCAGTCACTACAGATGATGCACATACCTGCATTGCAAGCCTGATCTCACAAGAAAACGTAAGTATTTTACGTTTTGCCAGTTTAGTGGCTAATTCGTACAAGTTCAGTCGTACGAATTTGTACGATTTTAAAAAGGAGGCGTGGCACCTAACCCCACCCCTAAACCCAACCGTCATTAGGGGAAGAGCAAGTCGTACTAAATTGTACGAATTAGATCATACGAACTCATACGAATTAGCCACTAAATCAAAAAGTTGAGATTGTGTTGGAATGTACACAAAATACACATGAAGTTATCAAAATATTAAAGTTAAATTTTTTGTGACAGGAACCCAAGATATTCCCATATTACTGATGTCCTGTTTTTTTTATATTAATTCATCTATTAATGCTTCTGAAGGGGTAGACGGCATCATCCTACTCGTCCGTGCTTTCCTGTTTGTGTGTCTGGTTGACGCTGTGGCGGAGTAGGTAGTGCTGTCGTCTCACAGCAAGAAGGTCGCTGGTTCGAGCCTCGGTGTTGTCAGTTGGTGTTTCTGTGTAGAGTTTGCATGTTCTGGGTGCTCCGGTTTCCCCCACACTCCAAAGACATGCGGTACAGGTGAATTGGGTAAGCTAAATTGTCCGTAGTGTATGAGTGTGAATAAGTGTTTGTGGGTGTTTCCCAGAGATGGGTTGCGCTGGAAAAGCTTCCGCTGTGTAAAACATATACTAGATAAATTGGCAGTTCATTCTGCTGTGGTGACCCCAGATTAATAAAGGGACTAAGCCGAAAAGAAAATAAATATATGAAGGTTCCACATAGTTCGTTTATGCAATTCTGATTGGGCAGAACGAAAGTGTGCTAGTAAGACAGTCAAACAAAGACGCCATGCTCACATTTGCTCTGGGTGGAGGAGGTTAATAATATATATTTCATATTGCAGCCTCTTGCTAATTAGCTAATCGCTACGTTTCAAATCGCAATTAGATTTTGATTAATCACACAGTCCTAATTTCATTCCAAACCAATATATTTTTCTTTATTCTATAAATTGTAACATGCATAAATCACACCAAGCTGTATCAGCCATTGGACAAGTGTCACAAATTCAGTATCATATTGGAAAATGTACAAGAAATCCAACAGTAGTGTAGAACACACATGATTTTCTCCTTTTTGATGTTAAAACTAATGGGTTCTTGTTGCTTGTCAGGGAAAGCCCCCAGGAACTCTGGTTCTTGCTCTCATTTGGCCTGTGTTACTGGAGCCACTGCACACATCGGTTCACTCATACACGGTTAAGTGAAACCACAGCCTTGTGTGCATGACAAGGGACAGGGGCATGAGAAAACAGAGATAGACTTTTACTCCTAGATGAAACTATAGTGTAAATTATGAATGCTTGCTACAGCTCTAAAATAGCTGGTCTTATTGCCCGGCTAGTTACTACCTGCCAGCCACACATTAAACTTTTATGGCACTGTTTTGATCTTCTGAACTTCTTGCTCACCTATGTACTTTGCACGGACTGATTTGTGGATGAGTGGCGCTTCTTTATGTGGCCTTGTTGTTGCTGGAACTTTGCCCCTTTATCCTCCATCAAAGTAGGATTTGTGCCCATCGACAACCGTAAAGGTCGGGTGGCGAGGAGACTTTAGAGATTAAAGGGAAACTCTGCACAGGCGGCAGATTTTGGGCCCAGCCCGGAGCTGTTTGTGGCTCAAGAACACGTCCAGGAAGTAATGAAATCTTGGCTTGGCCGGCGATGCTCATTGGCATTCGTGCTTCGTCTGCCTAGCCTGGCCGCCATCGGCCATGTGTGAGCTCGACTGGCTGTTGGGATTGTGTGGACAAAGCGTGCTCTCCCCTGATAAGAGAGCCTCTGCTGGTTAGCCATTAGCAAGATTAGCACAGCTAGGAGACCTGTGCAGCAGCAGCAGCATCATGTCAAGCTCACAAGCTTACTCGCTATCCCAGGCTGAGTTTCATTTGTGGTTCCTCACCTTGGCATGCAGCCCAGATCCAAGAGTTTCAAGTGGAAGCAATAAGCAGCTGTTTGATTTTCTGTTTGCTACAGTCTCTTATCACAGGTTCTCTTGGGCAGTAGGGTGACGATATGATCTTCTTCTTCCTGTAGGTCCCAGGAAACGCAAATTACCAGGTCTTCTCATCCTCTCAGTTTCTTCACTCCTCTGGCTGCTCCTGGCTTCTGGAGAACACCTCGTCTGCACGCTGCCTCGGACACCAGGAACCTGCCGCCACGTCAATCACGTCCTCACAGCCGGGTAATTAATTTCAAGTGCAAATTGCAGCCATCTTCACTTGAGAGAGGGCGAACAGATCAGACTTTTCCTCTCTCTTTATTCTGTTAATCCAGTCCTGAGGCTTTTCAGATGGAGCCTTTTTCCCCCCATACTGGTTTGGCAGTGAGGCTTTGCCCAAATCTCCAGGGTGTTGATCAGAGTTTTTTGTTTTTGTTCATCCATCTCTAAAAGAGCCAAACGATTGTAAGGAACATCAGTCATTTTAGAGTTGCCCGCTTGGCTGCATGTTACCTGTGAATTTTCAAAGGATGCTCTTTAGGAGAAGAGACCTTTGTAAATGAGCCAATAAGCCTTTGGTCTCTTTGAAGAACACTTTACCAAGCCCAATATGGGGAACCTCATGAGACTGGCTTTGTAAACACAAGACTTAGTGGCTTCATGAGTTCAACCTTTTTTCTTTCTCTCTCTCTCTCTTTTTTTTTTTACTTCACTCTCACTGTGCTCGGTCTATTGTTAACTTATTAGTGATGCGGAGTGTTACTTTGGAAAGCTTAATTCTGTCACTCCAAAAATTAATCGAGCAATATTTTTCCAATGTAGTAACATGTTTTATGATATTTTTTCGTTCTGTCAGCTGTCTGAAGCTTGAGTTGAACTGTTTTTATTTTGGGGTAGATAAGTGTTTTTCTCCCTGACAGATTTCATGCAGCATCTAGGACTCCTGCATTGACCTTATGCCACTTTCAGTGTAAGCTTGAGTTGTGTGGCATTGAGAACTGTGCTTTGTACATTTCAGTTCTTGAATTTAAGAAAAGAAAAAGATAGGCTTATAGATGCATGGATAAGTTGAGAGGTGGATGGAAAATGCATATATGAATAGATAGACCATCCAGCCAGCCATCTTTTATTCTGCCTACTGTATCCATCCATCCATCCATCCATCCATCCATCCATCCATCCATCCATCCATCCATCCATCCATCCATCCATCCATCCAGCCATCTTTTATTCTGCCTACTGTATCCATCCATCCATCCAGCCATCTTTTATTCTGCCTACTGTATCCATCCATCCATCCATCCATCCATCCATCCATCCATCCATCCAGCCATCTTTTATTCTGCCTACTGTATCCATCCATCCATCCATCCATCCATCCATCCATCCATCCATCCATCCATCCATCCATCCATCCATCCATCCATCCAGCCAGCCAGCCAGCCAGCCAGCCAGCCAATCAGCCAGCCAGCCAGCCAGCCAACCATCTTTTATTCTGCGTACTGTATCCATCCATCCATCCATCCATCCATCCATCCATCCATCCATCCATCCATCCATCCAGTCAGCCAGTCAGCCAGCCGGTAGGTGCACCATCCAGTGGTGCAGCAGGTAGTGCTGTCGCCTCACAGCAAGAAGCTCGCTGGGTCGCTGGTTCGAACCTTGGCTCAGTTGGCGTTTCTGTGTGGAGTTTGCATGTTCTCCCTGCCTTCGCGTGGGTTTCCTCCGGGTGCTCCGGTTTCCCCCACAATCCAAAAGACATGCGGTACAGGTGAATTGGGTAGGCTAAATTGTCCGTAGTGAATGTGTGTGTGGATGTTTTCCAGAGATGGGTTGAATGAAAATGAATGAATTAATATTATCCATTCATTTATCCATCCATTGGGGTGTCTAAATTCAGTTTTGGTGGGCCGGTGTCCTGAGGAGTTTAGCTCCCACTTGCTTCAACACACATGCCAGGAAGTTTGTAGTATATCTAGTAAGAGCTTGATTAGATGGTTCAGGTGTGTTTGATTGGGGTTGGAGCTAAACTCTTCAGGACACCGGCCCTCCAGGACCGAGTTTGGACATCCCCGATCTATACATTATTTTCATCCATCCAACCATCAAGGACTGAGGGATGTGGTTCAAAAGTAAAAATTCTATTATAACCAATTTATAACCCATCTCTCAGTCCATCCATCCATCCGTCCAGGGATTGAGTTATTCCAATTTAAAATTCATTTCAGGTTTACTGTAGTGTGTGGCCAGTTCAAATCCAGTGGCCGCTCATGAATTGAAAATGACCTGATCCTAAAATGCAAAGGTTCATGTCTAAACAGCTTGGTTTATACAAATGCTTTAGCTTGGCGACTGTAAACAAACTACATTCATATTCAGTGTGGAGGCCTAATGTACGTGCGAGAGGGCTTTTAAAAGTCCCCACGTTATAGCGTAACATGTCGCATTCAGAAAGTTTTAAGTAAAGCAGTTACTTTTCTTAATTGCGCATGTGGATTTCTGTGTTGTGTAATCCGTGAAAAGAAAGTTCTTATCTCCAGTGGAGAACATAATAGTTAAAACTGTGCATAATTGCTTATATAGAGATTGCTGGAACAACCCACCCACGCGATTAACTGGCTCGCATAGACACACGCAAAGACACTATCACACACTAGCACACAGGCTTTTTTTGCGCTAGACAGAATACCCACATTTCCTCTGTGAGCCCTCATTTAGGTGAGCTGACCTTGCATGAGCTGCGTCAATCACTCTCTATCTGCCAGTAAATCCTCCCTTATCTTGGGCTTAAACTGGCGGAGCTTGCCCACATCTGCACTGCAGGAGACGCAGAGGCTGTACAATAAGCCTGGAGCAAAGCGAGACTGACTGAAGCTACTGGAACCATGTTTGTGATTGACGTGTGTTTAAAGTGTGTTTGAGTTGGTGCTCAGATGTTTTATTTCTTTTCTTTTTTTTTATTGCATGTTTCAATGGCAAGTTTGAAGGCTGGATTTGCATGTTCAGGGCAGTTAGGGTGGCAAGTTTGAAGGCTGGATTTACTTTTGAACTGTGCTGTATAAAATGCACCAGCGCATGTTTTATGGATGCATTTGAACTTTTACCCGATTTGCATAATTACTTTAGTGAGACGGCCACTAAAACAACACGGGTACTGCGTGCAAATAAGCAGCGTTATCAGCAGGAGTGGTTCAGTCTTGTTAAATCCCCAGAGTTTTGGGAGAAGGTGGTGTTTTGTTATAGCTGTTGAGACAGTTCGCTCTAGAGAGGTAAAGCTGTGTGATTTGAGTCCTATTGTCCTCCAAGATTTGTGGGAACAGTTCTGGTGTGCACTCAGTGGAACTGTAGATCTCACCGTTGCCTGAATGTGTGCTCTTTTTCTCTCTTACTCTTTTTCTCTTTGCCACTTATAGTTATGTGGAATAGCTGCTTTTAGAGAATATTCTTAATGCATTTAAGTGAAGTTTAATTATAAACTAATTTTGTGAGGATCACGTGCTTATTATTGCTTGCAGCCGGCCCCACATTATTCAATTTATGATTCACCAAACAGACGATTCCTAAGCTACCATAAATACCATAAGTTCCATATGACAGCCATCTTCGTTTTGAAGAATCCCCCTTTCACCACCACTCCTCCTCCTTCCTAGATGGGTGGCACGGTGGCCCAGTAGTTAGCACTGTTGCCTCACTGCAAGAACGTCACTCGTTCTAGTCCTTACCAAGCCAACTGACATTTCTGTGCGGAGTGTACATGTTCCCCCCATGCTCACTTGGTTTCCTCCCACTGTCCAAAAAACTGCAACTTAAGTTAATTGACTGATCCAAATCGGCACCATAGACATGTTCTTAAGTAGTTATTAGCTACTACAGCAGGGGAGTTCTCGAGATTTACCTGAGCTCAAACTCCCCTCTTGCCTTGCAAACGAGAGGGAGCCCCAGGCTCGAAGATCTTATGAGCTCAGGGCTCTCTCCCGGGACAGTATGCCAAACAAGCTTTATAATCCATCATCAGCTAAGTGTGAACTTCTGAATTAGACTTAATTTTTTTGACCTATCAGCTGTCAAACATGGAATGCTCTCAGATAATTTGTAATTTTTTTTGCCTTATGAGGTTCATCTTAGTTCAGATAGAAAATAACACCGTTAATAAAATATACATAATATTGATGCATTTAGGCCCAGTTTACTCTGCCAGTTAAGTGTGACCCAATTCAGATTGTTTTTGCTCATATGTTAAACAGATCGGATCTGTTCTATGACCGTGTGAACACAAAAAAAAAAAATGCCTGCATTCGGATATTCAGGGGTTCAGGCCTCCTTTATATGAGAAAATGAATCGGATACAAATCAGATATGTGACAATTCCACTATCATGTAAACAGGCAGATCGGATTTATATAGGCATTCAGTTTTGTACATTATTAAACAATGTGGTACTTCTATGCAGTTTAATGACACAGAAGGAACAGCATGTGTGGAGAAGCTGACGCGGTAAATAACATAACTTTTGTAAATTTAAAATAGTTGCATCTCTAATTTATAACAATAACGACATTGCATTAGAAAAATGTCTAGGATTTCTGCTTTTTGTCACGGTTTGTGGTGGGGTAAAGGAGCGAGGACTCAGGTGCAGCAAGCAATGGGTATTCATTAATAAAAATAAAAAGCAAAATTGCAAAACAAACTACCCCGAGGGGGGATATATTAATAAAACAAATAAAACAAACTAAATAGACAGGGCAGGCTGGCCAACTAGAGAACAAGACAAGAAATGACGACATATAATGACGAACTGGCCCAGGACAGCGGACATGAGGAGAATATAAGCAGAATTAAATTAATACACAGGTGAACAAACAGGTGTTAAACATGTGAATCTAATAAACTAATAAGGGGTTAACAAGGAGGGTGGGGCTAGACAATAGACGGGAGAGCACATGACACAGAGACAACACAAGCTGCTCGTATAAAACGAGACTAGAACACGCAGCCAATGAGAGAACTCATTATCCGCGTGTTCATGACAACACAAGCACGCGGTGCATGTAAACATACACCACCCGCTAAACACAACACCAACAGAAGACTAAACACAAGACAATAGTACGTGATGAATGAAAACACTCACCGTGCACACACACACAGAGTGCATGTTTCATCCCAGTGCCGGCCGGAACAGAAACCAACTAGACTGAGATGCTGGGAATGAAACACCACGCTGCAGACAAACGAACGTGAAC